TTCAAGTTATTATATGTATATAAGTTCAGACAATAACCTGCAAAAATTTTGCCTTGCGAATAAAAATGTGCTTGGTTCATTTGCGAAATCTTCTCATAAGTTTCATTAGGTTAAATACTTTGACGTTACCGTTATGTCGAAAGTTATATGCTTTTGTATATATTTCCCTACAAATGCTACAAAGTTTGAAGTGCTAGAAAATACGCTAACCTATATGTAGCAAAGTGTTGCGGACACCGTTTTTAACACGTTTTTCTTAGCTTAGCTTCGCGTTTGTTTGTTTGTTTGTTTTGTGTTGTGTGCTTTTCGCTTTAATCATAACTCTGCCCGACACACGTTTTTTTGGGGCGAACCATAATTTATTTTCTACTTTTTAGTCCACACGAAAAACGTGGTTTTTTAAAAAAGTTTTTTTAAGTATTTTATTTACTTTATTTGCAGCGTATAGTTATTCTATAACTTAATTGAATAAACTTCTTGAGAATGAATGAGACAATTGAGGAGATTAAAACGACCAGTGTTATAGTACGAGTTATTCTTCCTAACTTGAGTTTGATGATAAGCGATATAGATATTGATAAAACAGAGTTAATTAAGCTGCTATATATAGTCCTCTTTATAGGGTTAAGCAAAGCTGCTAAATATTGATTTTTTAAAGATGCATCCATTAATTTAATATGATCAACGAGAACCAGACTATTTCCCTCAAGGGAACTGGATGAACTGATCGTTAACCCATCACTTGATGAATAAGAATTAGATTCTCATAGATGTAATTTATCGTAACTGATTTCGTATTCGGGAGGATTTCGTATTCGGGGAGGATTTCGTATACTGGGAGGTCAAACTTTTTCTCAGGGAATATAATTACTGTCTTTACGCTCTTTTAAATTAATTCCTAAAAACGCTATTGGAACAGGAGTGACTGCGTACGTGCTCATGCAGTTAATTAGTTAAAGCCTTTATACTCGCGGTATGCAATTAAGTCCTGTTTCAGGCCGCCCGCGGTTTTTTTCTATAAATGCTGTGGTGACTCACATCCCATGCAGCTCTCACAGGAAAACAGCGTCAGCTGCAGCAGCAATTAAGAAGCCCAGGGAGCACAAGAGCCCTGCATGTCAATGAAGAAGAGCTCGAACACACAGTAATTTGTCGATTTAAAGTTTTATCTTTTTTGATTATTCAACTACAAAATCATAAAATTAACGTTCATGTTTAAGCAAATTTAAGATTTATGCTCGAGCCTGACGGTGCAAATATGCTACATAGCAATTGATTACTATCAGCTTGCTAAAACTGTTTTCGAATACGTGTATAATAGTTTTTTAAACATGTTCGGGGATTTTAATACACATTAAAATTACTTTAATATGAACGTCAATATAAACAGTTTCCGTGTTGGCTCAGGACTGGTGTGTGAAGAAATCCCCTTAACATACCTGCAAGTGTCCGAGAGTGAGCACATTCATCCGAAGGTTCGCTAGAACTGTAAATGTTGGTATAGATCGTTGACGTGCATCAAGTCTGAAAATACTAGCTAGCTTTCCTAAATGCATGTATACAGAAATCGGTCGAAAATACCATCTGCTTGTATTCTAAAAATCGTCCGAAAATACTAGCTAGCTTTCCTAAATGCATGTATACACCAGCTTTTCAAAAATAACATCTGCTTCAATATGTTTCGAATCTCAAAATGTCGGTTAAAATTAGAGTTTATTTTAGGTCATAGCAAAGATAACAAAATTAATATTAATTTCGCTCCGGTACGTGCGCGTGAGACGTTATATAGGGTGAGGTTATGCAGACAATCTATATAATAACCTCTGTATCTTCAGTAAATCTCGAGTTGCCACCATTGACTAAATTTTTATGCAGTCGGTGTATCATCTTGCAAAACCGCATACGCTCAAACACATCAAAAAATTTTTGTTTGATATAATACAATTATATACCTGGGAGCCGTGAAAAGCTATCAGAGCATATTTATATAGTCTATAGTTATGATTTCATCTTAGGTTCCGATCGCCTAGAAGGAAAGAAAATGTGTAGTAGTTATTTAGCGCAGTTATTGGCAGTGGGTTTGCAGTGAGAGCACCGCGAGCCCGCTCATGTGTACGTGCAGCGACCGCGTGTGCACACGTGGGAATGTTTGTGCTTGGCGCGTCGACGACCATGCATGGCATGCTTTATATGCGCCCGCTCAAGCCGCGCGCTTTTATGGCAGGGCTTTTTACTATGATGACACATATCAAGGCGATGACGGTGGTCTTATTTGCATCCTTTGTTACATGAAATTTTTAAACCCATCTGGTTAAAACATTAATATTTATGCTCCTCCAGATGTAAAATTTGTGAAAAAAATCCACGCGTTCTTTGTCTGTTGCATGTTGTTCGGGTGTGGGAGAATCGGCCAGTGAAGGTAATAATCACTGTATTTAATGTTTAATTCATGCCCTGCATATTATGCCCTGCAAACAGTTCAACTGAGGTCACGCTGCACGTACGGGACCTGCATGTAATCCCAATAATTTATTCCATTTGATAATGCTTTGGCAGCTTCCTTCTTGTGGATCATAAAAGTTCGCTGCATGGCTCATATATATGTTCCTATTCATTCACCAGAAAACATGAACAGCTGCTGTGATGATGCAGTCAATGTATAACTTGTTTATTATTTGTTCTGAGGTAGAATTTTTCGCATGATTAGTTCTCACATTTAACCAAGGCCAACAAAATGGGCTTCTTTTATTGACATTGTTCTTGGTGTGCAGTTTCGAATCAAGCGCTCATTGTTGCCTCCGTTGATATTCAGACATTTGTCTCGACATTCAGCGTCAGCGAGGATTAAATTTCGCCGCTTTTTCTCCCAATTCTAATGATTTATAATATTTTGCATTGATTCGTACCGTTCATCTACTTCCATAGTTATTCTTTCGTACGTACATTATATGTAAAATGCATAGACTCGCTCAGAATATTCAGGTGAAACATTGTGTGGAATATCATATCGTGTATATGTGGCGTATCACGTATACCTACCGTATACGTACGTATTACTTCGCTTGTTTCTCGTTGTGATGATTCTCAATGCTTGTGCAACACATATATGCACGTTCGTTCATGAGTTATATATGCATGTTTAAGGTAAATGTGCGTGTTGTACGTATTAGCTTTAGTCGTATGAAAAACATACAATTTCTGTCTAATCGTTTGAAAATGGATTGGGAAGTCACTTCCCATGATATTTTTAGCAGGACGTGACTGATTAATGACCAATCTATTTATCCACAATAAAAATAGTAATAAATAGCGAATTACTATTTTAAGATTAAATTCGCTTATTTTGCGTTCATTTATCATACAAGGTTGAATCGTCTTTCAATACGTGCAATGCGCTCGTGATGAACTGGGGGTAAATAAAATTAAGGCGTATAAAACAGTAACGCGTATCACGGCTGGTGTGCGGCGTGCAGTCGGTATATAAGCGCCTGGAGCTGATATCTGATATTGACGTCGCTGCCGCTCTACAAGGTCTTCCTAATTGATGCTGTTACTCACATCCTGTGCACCGTCCAGGGCGACTCGAGCTCTTAAATACGGCGGCAGTTGCAAGCCTGATAGACGGTGGCTTGGGACATGCAAACAACTACCAGCTGAAGCTTTTTATATGTACCTCGCGTCAATATCAAACATCCTCTCTGCAGTGTTGACGAATAAAAAACTATTTTCTTGATGAGGAACTTTTCTTGTACTCTAAATTATTTGGATTTCTACATGACTGTTCCAATAGCAATTTATTAAGCATTTAATGATGAGCCTAATGCCATGAAGTGGCAGGCGATCGATACGGCTCTTATATCGTCGCGCCTCTGCTCCATTAGCTGATGAATTTTGATGAAGTGTGTTGATGCGCGCGGCGTAAAACGCGCGCCGAGTTGCAGCTCGTTGCGCCGTCAAAAATCAATGGCAACCGTCGGAAGAAAACCTCCAACTATCGGGAAGACTCCAGTAAACATAGACCTGCGAGCTTCGTTGACGAACATGAAAAACGACATGGATCTTTGATTTTGGACTTTGCTATATCTTGATAGCTGTGACAGACGCCTGAACGAAGAGTTGCGAAGGAAGGTCCATATCTCGTACGTACGTGATAACAATTGAAATCGAGTGCTATTTAATTTGGCTTACGCGGCATACCAATTGTTGCTGACATACGCGGCATTGTTTCTGGTATACATACGCAACATTGCTGATGGTAAATACTTCACGTGTAACTTGGCGTTCGTTTTGTCAGCAACCTCCTCACGCAAGGGGGACTTTTGGCGTGTGTATGAGCTCGTCAGAAGTCCTATGGAATTTCGCATTTAATTCTAGGGGCATTGTTCCTATAAGTCCCCCGCCACAGAGCTCGCGGTGTCTGACCGTTTGTCTTATAGTTGTGTCGTTAAGTTTGTCACGCAGGTAAAGGATCCCTTTATACATGCCTCTTCTGTGTCGCTCTCGTGCGGGCGGCCGACGTCCGGAGTAAGCGACCACTTGTTCGAGTATCTTATAGTTTCTGTTGCTTTTAATCTGTCCCTATTTGTCACTTCGTCTTTTTGAGATGCTAACTCTACTTCTTTTTAACCAGCTTCAGCGGGCTGGATTGAGACCTTCTGCCCTCTTAGTTGTGGGTGATGATAAAGTTGAGATTTCGAATAAATGAGACCTTCGGACTTGCTGGCGATGTTATCTTTGGACTTCCGGTGGGAAATAGCTTGATAGCTGAAGTGCCAGTAAACCATCATACTACTTACTCGCTTACTTACCCAGCAGCAACAGTTTGATTTAGCTTAAACAAAACATGCATCGCAGTTCAACTATTTTTCCGCAGCTTTTGGCTTATAAATTGGTGGCTGTCTGACCCTTAATTCCATCAATCAAGACAAGAATGTTGTGTTTTGCTGAGATATGAAATTTCATTAATGGATGTTCATGGAGAGAAACGATTTATGACGACTTTTATTGAATTAATACATCGAATTAGTCTTAAAAATAGTCAAAAATTCTCGTTTGATATAATATATTTGTATTTGTTAACACTCTTGCTTTGGCCAGCTAATTGGCAATAATTATGGATGGACGTAAAATAAATACACTATCTTCCTAATTCAGGGACATTTTACTCGACTTCAATTGTGCACATAGAAAAATATTGCAAAGCAGCAACATCTTGAATTATCTTATTGGGACCTGTATAAGTATAACGTACGATTACGCTGCGTTATTTGATGTGACGCATACAATCGTCGATTATTCCTTGCTGACGTCAAATGTTCAATCACAGTTATCATTATCCGGCAATGTCATGAGAAACAGGCGTTAATATATGGACCGCATACAGCATGTTTGCTGCTTACATTAATTTGAGTGAATTTCGTGGGTGAGAATCAATGAATATTTTCCCGACCTGCATGCATGCAGCTACTTGCTTGCTTTCAGGTGCAGCGTTTATATGTCATTAAATACCGTACGTATATAAGCTCTCGATACTAACATTACACAAAAGAACAACAGTGATAACTGTATACGTAGTTGTGTGTTTTTAACAGCATGGAACATTATTCGTCGTATTAGTACTGGTACATTTTGTGTACACACGTATACAGAATTCTAGAAAACATAATACACTTTCAATTTTTCATTTTAACGTGCATACACTTACATTTTCTCATTCATGATATACTTACTCATACGTTTTCTTATCCATGAAATACATACACATATTCTTAACCCTATAAAGATATCCGTAGAAAATGCACCATGCGATTACGCTTGTTTAACAAACCCATAATCGTAATACTCGGAACAACCGATAAATGTTAGACCACATACATTATTTCAGTTAATGATCTACAAGACAGCGCACCGAATATAGTACGCCACATGCAGTAGCAATGCATTATAACTTAACACATGAGAGTGCTATGGCTATTTACTAAGAAAATATGGGTAAACTTGTGACAATTAGCAACCCGCTGCTAATGCTCTATACCTGCTAAAGACAGGCAATCCGAACCGCTGTATAAATATGTAGTGTATTTAGTCCATATGTTGCTGCAATTTATCGCAATAAATTCGCAATAATCGATGTTTTAGAGCAGCCCGCACGATCCATGCACGTGCAATCATATATGCATGTGTACATGTTGGACGTGACCGACAATGTTTACTTTAAACTTTGTAGTTTTAAGCTCAATTATTTAATTAGGGTGTTATGTATAACAATTACAGTTATGTTCGCTGATAGTTATAAGAACTCAAGTATCCAGACATATAAAATGTTATAACGTATAATTTATTAAAATTGGGACCTGACTATAATATTGAGAGCTACATCAATGGACGTTTCGATTGCGTCATTACTTCGTTTATTAACTAACGATTCATTTAAAACCAATCAACACACTAATAAATACATAGACTCTATTTGTTAAATGAATCCAGACTAAATTCTATGCCTCTGTAATCTAACATCAGTATAAATTATTGGCCACTCTGAAGTATATAAATGCACTGCGCGAGTTAACGTTAATTTACTACTTCTTAAAATATTTTGATTACAGTTAATGTGTTACATCGTTCACTCGACTAACATTCTTTTGTCCACACTGTGCTCGTAATTAATTCAGTTTCCAGTACGTTATCTCCAAGCGTTTAATGTTGCCATGGTATAGCATATGCATGTATATGTCTATATTACGTAGCTCTCATATCATCTTCGTGTCTCAAACCGCTGTACATTCATCTATATTCTGTTCCGAACAATTGTTGCGGCAGCAGTTCATGGCTTTATCATAAATATTAGTGATCAGAAAAGCCTCCAAGGTTTCGTTTTTGAATTGCGTAACAATTGAATTTAAATTGGTTATAAAGGCCATGTGAATTGCTGAGAAATGGGGGTTCATACCTCACTTTCGCTAGAGGTTACATGTCTGAAAACGCTGTAGAGGTTACATGTCTGTGGTGAATCAGTGAAACCTCAAGTACATTCTTCGCCGTTGCATTTACGGTGATTGTATTGAACGACACCGGCAGGCGTGGAGGCGACGGCTGACAGGCTACAGCAGCTCGTGACACGGTCGACGTGGTATAGTGCATGTTTTGGTTGTGGCATGGTCGTGGTATGGTAACTGCACGGTCACGGCTTGGTCGTTGTATGGTCGAGGCACGGTCGTGGTATGGTCACGGTACTGTCATGGCATTCTGCATCGCCGCGCGTATATGCATGTATGGTAACTGTCACTAATTGAGTTATTATTACCAGGTATTGCATACGTTCATATTACTGTAATATATTTTTACCTTTTTTGGAGTTTGATTAATTTGCATAATATATATTGTAAAACATATAAACATCGTTCTATATTACCGTTCGGAATTGTACGAGTTGATTTGGCACAGACTTTGGACCACAATATATACGTGTCTATATATATGTATATTCTGCCCAAGAACAAGACATCATGTCAATAATTACTGAACAACCTAATTGAGTTGTTCAGATGACATTCGATAACTTATTTTACAGATAGCGGCTGCGAGTAAAACATTAAATCCTTCAAACGTGGTTAGTGTATTTTTTGTATCTCGTATCTATATAGGTAAGATTTCACTGTTAAACCCTTAATAAAAGAACCTTGGATTCCTCCAGTAAATTCTTGTAACTCTCTTTTATTGAAAACTTCCTTGTATTTTTCTAATAGTGTCTGAATAGGAACTTCATTTTATAAAGAAACATATACCTATAGTATACAGTTAACGATCATTCATAGGCTGCTTGAAACGTGTTGCTTTTGCCTATTAGATGCGACTAACTGCCTTGAGCTCAATATATGTTGCAGTACGTATAACGGGGGTGTTACACGGGGAGAACTTTGGCCAGCTCGAAGTTCAGGTGTACATTGTACATGTGCCGATATGGTGTTTTCTATTTATATGAGAAAACACTTGGCAAATCGATAAACTGATATGAAGAACTTAAGTCAACTATTATTCATTCTTGTCATGCTTGGCACATAACGTATCAATTATTCAGAATGCATGAGAGCTATATTCGTATGCACATTATTGATGCGGGCCACGCGCTCGCTGCGTGGCGTGACTCTCCCATTACGGTGCATCAAATATATGATGTCCATGCAGATGATGTGAGTCGCATGATGTTCTATGCCATCGCATAGCTTATGCCCTCGCTCCCAATTATATCCATTTAACCATCAAAACAATTAACGTAGTACGATTCTGCTTACTTCACTACAACTTAGTAACGTACAAAAGATTTCGAGATTTCCCTAGGCCAATAGATTCATATTAGTCTTAGTCACCTAAACGAACCTTTCCCACATTCATTTAATACTGACTATTATTTTAATTTTTTAGTTCACTGAAACAAACATCATGAATAGCTCCACTATGGCAAAAAGTATCTCGCAAACATGAGACATATACTTGCGATGACGCTATAACACTCGCTCGTCGTATATAACTTCGACGTTGGTCTGATGGCTCCCCCTCATATAATTGTGATGAAAGACTGCAGGTCAAATTATGCGCATAAATGAGTCGTAAGACTACTTGAATCTGATGTGCACGTGATGAATGTTGGTCTAATGCTCTCATCCACTTTAATATGGTGACGTGTGACGTCAATAACATCATGCATGACAAAGTTTTCGCTCGTCGTGCATTTTTTCAAAACGTATATGAGGTCAGTTACTCGACGTCTTTCATTTTTGAATAATATGTTGTCAATTACCAGCCACCTGCACTCTCTTAAAGTATCAATGTTGTCAATTAGCTGTATTACTCTGCTGTGTTCGCTATGTACGTAAAGCTTGACACAGCTGTTTGTATGTGTGAAGGCTGTGTGTGCCATATGGCCGCTACAGCAGACACGCGTAGTCCCGTAACAGCTCCCGTCGGTCCCCCGGCATGCTACGGTGGTGGAGGGGGGACCTGTGCACCCCTGGCGCTGATAGCAAGGGGGAAGGGGGCGAGACACATGTCCCCGCTGCCGTTGTGCCGGAAGGATGATAGTGGTGGGGGTGGCACAACAAGGGGGAGAATGATACTCCCGGTGTGTCGGTGCAGTGGGGTGGGGGAGGTGGTGTGCCGTGAGCCAGGGGCTGTGTTAGGTGAGGATGGTAGGGATGGTGGTGATGGTGGTGATACAGCGTCGGGTTGTGGCGGTGGTCGTTACATGGAGATGCGTGAGGGCTGGTGGTGGCAGGTGCGTGGGGTAATTCTACATTAAATGCTGTGTCCAGGATGGTCATCGAATTGGCGATCGTCTCGTCCTGCCGAGAAAAAGTGCGATAATAATCAATAGATGAGGCGCGCCTGCCGAGGAGAGATATATTCACGACAAGCTACACAGCTAGACTCATCATCTGTTTCCTCGTCTGCATGGAAAAATAGGGCTACCGCTATCGAAATCATGAGTTCAATCATGTCATTTTTGTATAAATACAAACTTTGCCCACCGGTATACTGACTTAACAAGTACGCAATGTGCGAGAAATGAAAATGTACCATTGAGGTTCCCCCATATCCTTTTATTCTCAGGCTGCAATGAGTTGAACCATACTAAGCAACACCGATCCTTACACTACTGGGACGACTCTATCAAACCGCTATTTATATGAGAAAAAATGTAATTAGTTATGAAATTGAAGATTGTTTATCCCGGCGTTGAGGTCGAAAGAAGTTATATGGGCTACGTGTATCGATTTTCTCTTTACGCATCAATCAACTGTGCGCACACGTGTCCTCATAAACGCAAGATCTCCGCTGGTTATCGAGCTACTATCCTGCATGCATCTCATTGCCAGGCACTAAGTTGCAACATATGACATCATTATAGGTGGCCTGTATTAATGACTGAACACTGTTATATGCCTGTCACATTTTATAAAGGAAACTTGCCCTAGCTCCATTGCGTCTCGAACGTCTGAGACGTTCGATGAGCCCGACATGATTACTACACCCACCCTCCCCATAAACCGAATTAACCAGCGGTTGATTTGTAATACCCATGCTGGTAAATCCTGCTCATCCTTGCCAACTCTAACGAAATTCTGTTATTAAGGAAACGTGTTGAAATACATTTCTTCATCAGACGACCCTTCTTACAATTAGACAAATTTTTCTTTTGTATTTTTCTTGTACTTTAGTTCTTTTTTTGACTTGGACATTAGAAAATTTTGCCAAAAGATGATTAAGTTACATCCTTATTTGCTTCCACGAGTTTTTCAGGAAGTTCTTAATTGGAAGGCACAACCTCCCTTGTTCCCGTGTAGAAATAGACTCACCGAGAGACAAATCTCCATGAACTCGTCCAGTGTGACCACACCATCGCCATTAATGTCCATCTTCTGTGAGAACAAATTCAAATGATTAATTCAGCTAGGATTAACTTGCTCATCTTGTCGTGAGGGAAGAATCATGAATGCGGATTTTGTTCACATTGACCAACAATAGATTGACCAATAACTCATTTGTTCTAAGGGCATCCCTCAGAGCATTAATTGTCGGAAATATCAATCTCTCATATAAGAATCCTCAACCAGCAAGCATGATAATCCCAGACAACCTTAGAAGTCAGCCAACAAATTGTGCTTTCATGCAGGTAATTAATCCCTTGAATGTAAAGAGTGTACTGAGGTGAGTATATATATGCAGGCACAAAACATTCCCTTGTTGTCACCCTCTGCTCATTCTAGTCTAATCTCCCTATTATTTAGGGTCTTTCAATAGAGTGCTAGGGTCTATTTTGGTCTCGCAAGTCAGCCATGGCTCATGAACGAGGCGTTTTTTATTTGGCAGGTGTGACAGCGGAAGAGGCATGAATGGCCCGTCCATTTAACGGCGCCGGACTCTGAAGGTCCACAAGATCCAAGCAGTAAGGTTCATTATTACGAGTTCTTGGCGGAACATTCAACCTTACGGCTCGAGCGTGCGTGTCCGATGGTCATCACGCTACGTCTAAAGCTTGATTTTAGCCTTATTCTGGTACGCGTTCACGTTCACCTTAATCTGTATCTTCAGAGCTTATTGACATGAATGATTATATAATTTTATTCGAAGAGTTTTTATATAAGTTATTGAATAGGCAGAAAATAATTATGTTTTCTAGAGAAAATAGTGATTACTTTGTTTATGTAATTGTCATTAATTTCATCTCGAAAAGAGCAAAATCCCGGGTATGCCAAAGTGTGCAATTTATAAGATATTCTGTCAATGTTCATTTCTCATCTTCGAGTATTTATTGAAATCTTTGTTACGTTAATGCTTCACATCAATTAGTAACAATATAAATCACCTATGCCTGTTTTGCAAGTACGACAGATTTTATGATCAAACCGCTCAAGTTGGCCGGAAAAGTAAATTAACCACACGAGATACAAGCGTGAACAAATAATGACCGAAGCCGAGCCAATTTAGTGCTCCTGTTGCTGCTTGTATAGCTTGTACACGCTAGCTATAGTGTACTCCTGATGCTGCTGCTAGTGTTTTTGATAGTGGGTAAGGATACAAGATGATATCACATAATCCAAAACTTGATTTGGGAATAAGTGCAGAATTGAATAAACTTCATATTGTTCATAAATCTTGGCATTGAAGTGTATTGTACAGACAATAATTGGCCTTGTATGAGCAAAAAAAAACTATTCTATTAGTTGCTAAGTTTGTAATCTTTTCGTGTTTATTTGGCGCTTTCAGCTTACAGAAACAAAATTGAAGTTGATTTGGTCCAATTGGTTTTGTTGACAAATTTGTTCTTTTTTTGACTATCGGAAAACATGGCATGCACAGATGGCTTTTAATTACGTATCATATGGTATTTTAATTATTGCATTCACTTCCTTTTCGAAAAAAACATCGAAATTTGTTAATGCTCGTTGAATCTGAATAATTTGTGGCGTATGTGGCGTGGTGCAACAAGTCCAGCTAGCGTATTATGTTTAGTAAAGGTTTCAGCGTTTCAGATTGAGATTTTTTTGTTTGTCACATTTCTCTCACATCCGTAAGCATTCGTGTGATGATCGTTTCCAATGAATACAGTTTAAAATAAATTTGTTGGAAACTAAATCATGGGTACCAAATGTTACAATTGTGCTGTGTTAAAGCTATAGTGTAAGAATAAAATCTTCGTATGACTAGTGGCGTGTGTTGGATAATAATCACCTCGAATATTCTATCGACGTGTTTCCTGGTGGTTGCCTCGTCTACAGTGGGCGTGGCGTTGCGGCCGAGTAAAGAATATACGGCGCCCACGATGTCCATGAGCTCCTGCTTGCTGATGTAGCCGTCGCCGTTGATGTCGTACAGGGTGAACGCCCACCGCAGCTTCTCCGTCGTCGAGCCTCGCGATAACTCTGACAGGATTGTCACGAAATTCTGCACAATATATTGCGTATGAGTAATGAAGAATGATACATTACCCACATATTACGAAATAAGCTTAAGAAAAGGACAGACGGAGCCAGGGTTTGTCAAGTAATTATGGAAAGTAAGACCGCTTCACTCGAATAGGATTCGCGGGTCGCTGACAGGTCATCTAATTTCCTCGAAAAGAGCAGTTCTAGTGTGTGTCTTTTGAGATACTCTGTCTACGTATGGGTAATGTGTCATGTGTTTTTATAATATTAATTCTCATTTATAATTCCTTAATTCCTTTATTCACATCAAAGAATAAGGAAAACTTCTCACATTTTCTATCAGACATGAGAACAACAGCGAAGCTGTTCTCCTTAAGCTCATGGTCTAATGATGTTGGTCGTCACTCTACTTTGTAATAAAATTCAACAATTTGAACATTATATTAATTTTTTCTGATCATGATAATGTATAATAATTAGTGTTCTTTAATTAAAAACTACCTTACTCATTAAACTTATGTATATAGTCATAGATTTCTTGCAGATTATTGTACAAGATTTTATTAATAATGATTGATTGTGTCTCTTTGTGTTTAATTATATTACTGTTTGATCGAATTATTGTCTCTGATTGAATAATTGAGGTTCAGAGGAAAACATTCTTTTATTTCTTCATTTTAATGAAGCTGTGTATATAAAGCTGCACATGTGCGTTGCGCACGCCACTCGGAGTCCACATATATTGCAATAATGAGCGCATTGCGGTCTATATATACGGCCACTCTGTAGCGCCATTAGTCTGAAATATTCATCTGTAGAGTTCTGGGCGTGCGCTCATGTTTGTCCTGCGGGCACGTCTGGTAATGAGACTTGCCTTGGGGCGAGCAGTCGGCAAATATTTCCCTGCATCATTAGCGGGCTATAGCTGGCGCGCTGTCTTCATCTGAATGTGCATTCGACGAACTGAATTATTTTTTATATATATATACTTGCTGGGGGCTTCAATAAATAATTTGCTTGCGTATTCTGTAATATTTATGTATAGAGTAAAGAATTATAGGGAGTAGAAATGTTCTGTTATTTGCAGAAAAGCGCATCCGTGTTTAAATAACCTGCTGTACTATTGATATCCATTTAGCTATGAACTAGAAATGTCGTGGAGGCTCTTCGAATACAGGTTTCATTAAAATAAGAGCTGATTTTATTGCGAGTTATCTTAACTAAAAAATAAAAAAGGACGTTCATGTGCTGGATCATCAAGTTAAATATTAGTACACTTTTTTATATATATACGAGTAGAAACTTTAATTTAATAACGGTATGGTAATTTACTGCGTAAATACTTGAGACAGTTATTGATAAGTAAGTAAGTTGCTTAAATTTGCTTCATTTTGTATCAATTATAAGAAGAGTATAGTTTCTCTCCACTTATTGCACTCGCATTGTCACACAATTCTTGACTGTATCGGTTGCCTAACAATTTTTCATTATGTACATATATAATAGACAATTGAGAAACATTTGAGTAGGAATTAATGTGGCTGCATCGATCACGCTTGGGCGCAATCAAGAGGCTTTCATTGAGGTCATAGCAATTTTTGCTATGAACTAGATTTTATTATAATTGATAAGTTTATCCAGAATTTAGTTTTATATTGAAATTAATTAGCCAAAGCTGAAGAAACTGAAACTACCAAGCTAAAAAGTTGAACTGCAGTTACCCGGTATTTCTTGGACTTGCCAATTTGAATAGTGATCGGTATGTACAGCAATCTAATATAAGCAGCTATATACTCAAGAGGTTCATCATTTGTGATGAGTTTGATTATATTATTCCTACCTCAAAACTAATGGAGCCGTTGTGGTCCGTGTCGAACGTGTTAAAGACGTAGTGTGCATACGCCGTGGCGTCTGCAAAACAGTACAAGTTAACAGTTTTATGGTTATTCCCAATCACTGCTTCCAATATGACTTTAGTACATCTCTTATTATTTTATTTTGAATATTTTGTAGCTGTATACTCTTGTAAAAATCACTAGTTTCATAGTTGTTGTCATGAAGATTATTTTTTTGTATGCAGCTTTCATACATGGTTGTGACAGTCACAAAAGAAATTTTGAAGCGAGTCATTTTAATTGATGATGCACCGTGCATGCCATTTTAATGATCATGCGCCAACCAGGACTGAACACAATTAAGAGCATACGCGCACATCCACATGCTGCGCTGGTGCAGAGAGCTGCACAAACAAGCGTATACAAAGAAGCAAGTGTCTCACCGCCCTGAGGGAAGAACTGTGAGTAGATGCCCTTGAAGGTGTCCTCGCTCACCATGCCGTTAGGGCACTCCTGTGGGCACAGATATTCATCGTCATCACAGCAATGCTGTATTTTGATACACCCTGCATAAACAACTCGTATACGCGTTGCAACGCATAACGACATTTTATGACTGTAACCTGTTCATTATTGCCATTACTTATTACTGCAACCTTATTTGATTTTAGCTTCATTGAAGAACACTCTGTTTTCGTAAATCGAACATGACGGTGCAAATGGAATGTGATCGCATGAGGCTGTACAATTAAGTTTTATCCACTTATGCTTCAATTTTATCTCGGTTTTGACATTCGTTAATTTATGGTGCCGGCAAATATCACATTGATGTTGTTTTCAAGTACATAAAAACTGCATTACCAATATCTTAATGAAGGCAAAAAGTGACATCGGAAAGTTTTAAATTTTCTAATTTTTCTTGAATTTAAATTCATTAATCGCTTTCAATATAGCATAATACAGCCTACTGATACCTACAATAGCGATCTGCCTTCATTATGAAGTCAATAAGCGGTATTGTGCACTTGGCCTTCATTGCAGGTGGCGACCATGTCTAGCTCGTGCTATCGCGGTAATATCGTGGAGTTATCGTGCGTCGGGTCGCGGTATCGCGCCGCTGTCGTTGCTAAGAGCAACAAAACAGTGCACCAGCATAGCTCTTATCGGCAGCCACATAGCGGCTTATCTTAATGTTAGGCGAGCTCCTGGAGCCGACAAAACTCTACTTTGAGAGCAGCAGGACGTGCTCAAACACCGCCCGCCCCCTCCACAACATCTCGATCTTTCATTGTGCACTCTGAGTTTTCAGTATTAAATTCTTACATTGATTAGTTGTTATACTTTTTTTCCCGGTTTATCACAACGGAAATAATTTGTTTGAAATGCTTGATTTGTGTCCAAGGTTTGCACATAGAAATATGTATTTATTATAGTTCTAACTTAATTAAGTGGATCTCTACTGAGGAACGACTGTGATTCCTATACTGTTCAAAGAAAAAATGAAAAAAAAACGATCGATGAAATCGTTCTGCCGTTTACCTGAAGATAATTTATTACGGGCAAATTTTGTTTTATTTTATTATATAGTATTACAAGTAGTGGCAGCATTGAAGGCTAATCAATAACAAGGTTGACCTGAACTGCGCATTGCTCAATGCTAAATTAGAAATTTTTAACCAAATACGTTCAATACCATTAGCATTGGCTCATGTTTCATGTAGAAAAAGTCTTTAACAAACCTTGAAGAAATATCAGCACATTACCATTTCACGTAAAGCGGCCGATTAGACGTGCGTTTTTACAATCTCTTTCTTAAACATTGCATGAATTAAACTTGTCCGATAATTAGGTCTAGGAGGTTACAGTATCTGACCGCCTTGAAGCCTCTGTACATGAGCTGCAGCTCCTTCTTGGTGAACTTGGTGGTGCGTGCCAGCGTTTCGATGCCGTCCACCTTGTAGCGTACCACGTTGAGCTCCACGTCCTCCGTGTCGTTCTCTGCACAACAAAACACCATTTAGAGCATAGACCGAACCTCGGTCACCTCACACATCTGTCTTTATCTTGAAGCCAAGCCTTGATTTGCACATTACGTTTTGTTTAAAGTATAGCCTTAATTGTTTAAGGGGGGGTATACCCTCCAGAAGAACTTCCACATTTACTAACGGATCTCTCTGAAACCTCACATATATATGTAAAATCAAAAAACAAGAACATTTTGTTCGTATGATTTTATCGGAAAAATTAATAGGAAACGTGAAATTCATAGAAAAAAGGGGTTACTGTAGAAATCTATCTCAACCTAGGGTTTTCAAGCTACAACATTGAGACACATATCATTCGATGCGTAAAGACCATACCATTCGAGTAACGAAGCTCGATTTTTTATTTTTACCTAAGTTTTTTACTCAAATTTTTCCGTTTTCATCTCATTATCTATAAATTTTCCCCCTCCCCCCATTTTGAATCCAAATTATGCACAAATCTATAAAAAGCGCTTCGTTACTCGATAGGTATGGTCTTTATAAATCGAATGATATATGTCTCATCGCTGTAGCTTCAAAACTCTAGGAGGAGAAAGGTTTTACGTGACAATAAGTGTGAATGTCCAGGAGAGCGCGACAAAGTCCCGCCCGCATCGCAATAGGCACTCAATGTAGCAAGGATACGAAACTAAACGTTTCTGGAGCTTGATTCCACTCAAGGATGGTGGGAGCGACTACATGCGCACCCCCTCATACAACGCCAGGCGGGTTTATGAGCTGCACCTCAAGCGAACACTGTATTTATAGTGCTGGGCAGCGAATTAGCTCCTATCTAATTTGTTAAAGAACTCCCCCACCCGCCCCCCTTTCATGATCTGTCGTGAAAGCATAAATAAAAGTACAGAGATGGCAATGGTACCGTTGGATAGGGCAGAATGTCAGCTTGCTTTAGGATGAGACTAAAACTCGAAAAAGCCAAATCTGAAAATGTTAGGGTATATATACCACCCCTTAAAGAACTCCCCCGCCTCCCTTTCATGATCTGTCGTGAATGCATAAATCAACGTACAGAGATGGTAATGGTACCGTTGGATAGGGCAGAATGTCAGCTTTAAGATGAGACTGAACGGGTAACTGAAGCGAAACTCAAGTAGACACTATATTCAAATAAAGTGCTCAGCACCAAATAAACTCCTATCTAATTTGTTAAAAAACTCCCCCACCCGCCCCCCTTTCATGATCTGTCGTGAAAGCATAAATCAACGTACAGAGATGGCAATGGTACCGTTGGATAGGGCAGAATGTCAGCTTTAAGATGAGACTAAAAACCGGAAAAGCCGAATCCGAAAATTTTAGGGTATCCCGTATCCCCCCCCCCCCCTTAATAATATGAGCATCTAATTTACTTGTGTAAAGCAACGAATTAATTTCCTGCTTCCTGTTTCGTTCGTCTCATTGTTGTGTTTTTGTTCACCGTAGGCACAATCATCCAATTATTGCATTACTAATTCATTAAATCGCGAAGTCAAGGAGCGACCAGATCGCGCTGATGAAATCTCGGGCTCATTTGCATGAAAGTAATTTTTGCTACCCGAGTTAGAGCTGTTTTGGCTTCGATCTTCGCGCCAGCTGACGAATTAAGGACTTCTACTCCCTTTCGCGGCTGCTGAGGCTGAGAAAAATTATTGCGCTTCACACTTTTATTCTTTTAATTTGTCAACTTGCCGAAGATTAACAGCCAGTAATTTCTCGCACTGCGTTTGAGTTTCATCGGTGTATGAAGTGGCTTTCATTTTAGTTTCAGAGACCAACATGTAGATGTTAGTCATCCACAGCTGGGGATTAAATTGGTCTTGAAAGAGAACACCCTGAACCATGGTGCATAAATCGGTTTATTTAGAAGCGACTTGATGCATGAGTTAATTTTTTGCCGGGTCAAAAGTGCACTGTAGGTAATCTGTTATACGAGCCGTAATAGCTGCTCTGCAATACATTGATTGTCACGTTGCCGCCGCCGTCTCCCTGCGGCCACACTGCTTGGAGCATCTCGTACGTCGTCACCTCGGCGGAGATGTGGCTAGCTACGTCGAATAACATTTATGCGCTCTACTGTTATAGGGTGCGCGAACAACATGGTAAACTTCAAAAGCTTTCACGTCATCGCTACGATAAAATCTTTGCAACGTCATTAATATTATTTATGACATGTATTGTATTTATTTGTTTTATAATTGCAGTTTAGCTACAGCAAACAACTTGGTGAGAAGTTGTGTTCACTAAATGGGTGCTACGGGTTTATTTCTGTATCCCCTTTCAAAAGTATATTACAAGGGCTTCGATATTTCATCTACTCATGTAGAAAAAAGTTTAATGGGTTATGATGATGAAATAACCCTATAGGCCATTTTATAAAACAAGCATCTTCCGCCTTTGTAGGAGGTCACTAACAATATTTTGCGGCGGGCGCGCAAAATTAGTTTGATGAGGTGGCGGCAGTGCGGCAATTAAGGAGATGTGCAGTGCGTTAAAGTAAGCGGGATGCATACATATGAACCGCGCCGTTATCGCGCGCTGCGTAACTCAAGCAAATGGCGCGCCGCTCTCGCTAAGTGAGCCGCGGGCGTCGTGATGTACTGCGCCGCGCTGGGGCCGGCGACCGCTGATGCACGGCGGTGTGCCGGCCTTGATAACCGCCCTATAAGTCTCGGCTCTTTATCGTTCGCATCATTCTGAATTTAAGGTATAATGCTTGACATTATAAAAGAATGGTAATTTAGTCCCCCCATTACACGGTGAACGAAAGGTCTGTTACATAATGTGACCGATGGCGCTTGATATTTATTTGTCTTTTAAAAATCTGGTTATAGAAACCAGATCCGTCTTCCATTGCAATTATTCTCACTTCTCGTTCAGAAAAAAAGAAAAAAAAGGTGTTGAAATTAAAAATTTCCCAGGAGATCCCGAATTTATTTGAACCATTGTAAATTCGAAAATATTTTATTCTCTGATAAATTTAAAGTGACTACCCACTGTACAACAGGGGCATAAAAAAATTGTTTTCATTCACGCACAATTAAGTCCTGCAGTTCAGGTGCGGCTGCTCCTATTCCATTATATATATGTTCCCCGGCACACTGTTACACACTGTAATCAAAGATCATATATAGGCCTACTCAACAATAAAAACAATAAAACTGTCGCAAGAAACGAACTGTCGTAATTTGCATTTTAATGTTCATATGTGCAATATATTTTGTACCGTAGATTCTTTCAGTATTTTACTTCAAATAGAAGCATCGAGTATCGTCATGCAGAACTGGCTGGCCTGGTCAACGCGAAATATGCAAAGTTCTCATTCACAGTAGATATTCGGCAATTTATTACTGCTATTTCCGTATTCATCTGCTCCCCTACGCAAGCACCGATATAATACCACAATCAATTTGGTGGGCGCACGTGTGCACATGGTCACTTTCATTTTCTCCGAGACTTTACTCATAAAGGGTTTTTCGCTAGCAGTGCTCCGTTGGCTTGTAACCAAGGTTAACCTGGCAGGTTAAACTGCTGAGTTCCCCGAGCAACTTAGGGTTAACCTGATGGTATAATAAACGTACTCCCGCATTTTCCAAGTTCGTTTCTGCTGTTCGCGTGCACACAAATTGCATGCAAAGTTTAACAAATGATGCGGAGGAAAGATGTGCTACAGAAACAGCCGCAAATTTAATGAAAAAATTTAGAGTTAGAATAAGGTCAAGCGTGCTTACGCTGACGATCACCTGGAGCTCCAATTCTCTAAAGCCATTGCACTGTTTAACTAAGAGCGGCCATGTTAAGGCATCATTTTATCTCAATAGGACAGCCATAAAAATGCCTGTGAATTCCTGCTTCTTTTCCGGCGGCGCACTTTACGGTCGGGTCTCGGTCGTAAAAAGTTCCGTCGGGCTACTGCTACGCTTGCGGGGACCAGGAAGCAGGGCAGGTATAAAGCGGGGTCCTGAAGAGCGAGATGTTCCTTCCATCGTTGCGCAGCATTCGCATGGGTTACGGTGCGTATAATAAAAGAAGTCCCCGCACAACTTTACGCACTGGCCGAGGGGGCGCCACCAAACGTCTTGTTGCGGACGCGCAAACATTTAAATGCCGTTTTCGTCACGCCCTGCACGCACAGATACCTCAACGAGGTTTCCAAGTGACTTTCTAAGAAATAGTATTATTGGTAATAAGAATGATTATAGGTGCATGATTTAGTTCACGGTCTTGCAGTACGTTCACTCGTCGGCCAAAAAATATTTCAATCTGTATGTATTTTGATTATCTTTCATTCAACTTGCCTAATACGCCATAAAAGAGTCTCGCCGATCACATAACTGTCATGCCAGGCGCTGAACCTTGCAACTTCCTTCCATAACGAAATAATTAAACATCACGCACGGCGTCACAACATGCAACAATATTGAGCAGGAAATTGTTCTTAATTATTCACTTGATTTCCAATAAACAAATAGAGGTGATGGATTATGGATACAATGATCAACGTGGAGTAATAATGGAGGATATATTCGCTGCACTGATTGCAGTGATTCCGAGTCAGATAAATTATGCGCCTCATAAAGTCGGCCTTTCGAAAGGCTAGAGATTTTTGCGTCCTCCATCTTGGCGTAATATGCAATTTTAAAATTACCGTTTATATAATTGATTCGTTGGAATTATCATAGAATGTTGCCATGCATTTTATTTGCCAATATCGGGCTTTTACGTCCTGTTTTTGAATTTTCGATTGAGTTAATTGATTCTACTTGTGCTTTAGAATTTTCGTACTGACGATGGAGATCTGAAACGTTTTCTACAATGATATAATGAATTTGATTAGCATGTTTACATTTTAAAATTATTACTGGACTTTCGGCTAAAACATTTCACCATGCGTTATTACTTTTACATTTGACTTTATGTTACTCCAATATTATCTTTGAAAATATTTTTATTAGAAGACACACACGCGGATTAACACTT